GACAGAAGCCACAGGAAGCTGGAGTAAGATTCAGACACTCCTCAAGAGGTTACAAGGACTTAATTCCCTCTGCATCTTGAGGGTGAGACCAAGCCAGTAGTGTAAAGAAAATTTATTATTACTGGGTAGGGGACCTGACAGTACAGTGTGAGCACCACAGAGTGATCAGGAAAGAGGTTCCATTAGTACTCTTACAATGGCCTGACAGCAGGCTGTTGCCGTGGGATGAAGGCAACGTCAGCAAATTCCACGGGCCTAGGAGTCCATGTGGGGTTTGGGGGCAGAGCAGCTCCAGCCCAGCGCAGCTACCCGTCTCTATAAGCCGCCAGGACACGTGTTCAACTCCCAAGTCAAGGATGTATGATGTTTTAAGTCACTGGATTTGACAATGGCTGAGGATGGTTTACAGTGACAGGAAACACAGTGACAAAGGAAGAAGAGGGGGTTCCAGCTACATGGACGCACATGGCATGTGGAGAAGAGGGAGATGGTAAGGTCTAATGTAAGAGCTGAACAAGGCACATGTGAAAGGCCGGGAGACCAGCTGAGGAGCAGCAAAGGCGGGCGACTGGGGTTCCCCTGTCATAGGAGCAAGTGTTAGTACGAAAGGGAAATTAGGAAGTTAAGGATTTGGAAGTTAACCAAATACATGGTAATGTCAGTGAACGGGGGCAGACTGGAGCTTCAAGTTACCTCCAAAAACAAACCCTACTATAATTGTCCTCCTCTCTACAAAGGAAAAGCTGGAAATTCCTGCAGAATGGGAAGTACTGATATCTGCCTGTCGGGACCTGCCTATCAAGGCTTCAAACCACTTTAACTGATTGCAAACTCCTCCCTCTGGCATTGGTTCTGAAAACTCCTGCGATTGCCCTGGTGACTCACTCACATAGGTGAGATTTCACCATGGTTGAAGACACCCCCACTTAGGAGACACCCTACATTGCATTCAACCCAGTTTGTCCTTTATCTTATTTTTGTTTAGTTTGTGTTTCCATAGAGGTCTTCCGGGAGTGCTTTTACAAAGGTAGTTTTAAAGTTCTAACCAGGTAGAAAGCTGCAATCTCACATCCACATCCATGTCCTTAATATTCTACCATCAAAGTGTTTTCTTGTTAGTAAGCAGTCTTCAGAGTTCCATGTTTTAATAGACAGACTACTTCAACAAGCAGATTCACCACATCCGGCTTAAACACTGCTCTATTGTGGGAAATGCAGATTACCTCCAATTTTGCACTATTAGAAATAATGCACCAAGCTGGCCCTTTGCTAGAGCCCACACTTCTGAAATGGCATTATTCTTTTCGTTGCAGGCTTGAAATCTCCTCATTCTCAAGTATTTGCTCTTTGTTGTAACTATGAGTTAGTTTTTCATTACTGATGGTACATGAGTACTAATGATTTTGTATTTTTTTTTTGAACATACCTAACTTTACTGAACTCATTAATTCTAGTAAGTATTTGGCTTGCTCCCTTAAAAGTGCTCCAGATAATCATATAATCTAAAATTAATGACAATTTTCTCCTGTACAAATTTTAGTTCATGTTTTATTGTACTTGTCAAAGCTTTGCAACAGTTGATAGCGACAGTCCAGTCTAGTTTTTAAGATGCTTAGAATATTTCTCATTTTACTAAGGTACAGTTATTTCCACTTTGGGCGCTGGATTTTCTTTATTTTTTTTTTAATATGAACTAGGATAATAACATCATTTTATACAGTTTGTTCATTTACTAATATTAAACTGTGAATTCTTCTGTCAAACTCTGCTTTTTAAAAAATCTGTTAACATGTACTTACATTCTTTATATCTATATTAACGGGAAAGGTTAATCCATATATATCTTCCTGTGGCTACTGAGCACTGAAATTATCTGAGTTATTACAGTGTGCAAGTATAAAATATACACAGTATTCTGAAAACTTGTTTGAAAAAAGAATATTTAATAGTTTTTGATACTGAATAGTATTTGATACACGTTACAATATTAATATTTGAGTATACTCACTTAAATCTATTATTACAATTAATTCCATGTTTCCTTTTACTTTTTAAAATATGGCTACTAGAAAAAATGGGAAATCATTTTGAATGTACTGCTTCCTCTGTACAAAGCATCTCTGTTCAGTACCTGTGTTCGGATCAAAGTTGGATTTATCTCAGTATCAACTGAGGTGTATGGGGTCTTATACAATCTGTAACATCTACTATCAAACATGAGCCTTGACAGCTTAAAAGGATTCACCCAGATTCAAGTCCCTCCAAACCCTAAGTTACAAGTCTGCTCTGATATTCTTTAATGAAGGTTAAATCCTTAAATGCCAGACACCATCAGAAATGCATAACCTATATTAAATATTAGATTAAACCCAACACCTATTGACATTTCAGACTTAGTGTAAAGAAGTCACAAAAGCCCCATTTTTATTGGAAATATAATAAATAAGCTCTTTGTTTTGAGGCTATGTCAAGATTCCCCCTTTTATACCAAGGTATAACACACCATGTGCATATTCTTAGTAGAAAATGTTTGTGTTGTTCTTCTGCTCTTTAGAGAAAGGAGACCCTATCCTTTTGGTCTGAGATCAAACTGTAACTCACCGGATGCCAGACGACAGACTTGCCTTGTCAGTAGCCAAGTCTGTTTAGAAAGGAGTAAGAAAGGCGACCATGGACGATGGGGGCGAGGCTGGTCGTGCGCTGCACAACCTCAGGGACACCTGAGCATCTAAACAGGTTAGCACAGGAGTGGGGGCCAGCCCAGGGGCCAGGGATGAGGGAGCCACAAAGTCTCCCTGCAAGCACAGACATGAATGTATTCCGTCAGTACATTCCCAAAGATTTACACCAGAGTTTTTCTTTTAATTTTCGCTTTATGATGTGAAGTCTATATAACTACTGACTAGAACTACCTAAGTTCTAGCCCATACTAGTCGGGTGACCTTAGACACGTTAGTTAATCACTCGGGGTTTCAATTTCTGTATCTATTAAATAGGAAAAAAAACTGGAATTTTGAAATTTGAGAAATAACTAGGGTATGCAAAGTTATCAGTAAAGTGCCTAGCCCAGAGTTAAGTAGTCAACAGATGCTTTCGATTAGGAAGTGTATCCTCCAACGCCATTAACTACTATTAAATGCTGACTGAAAAATCATTAATTAGCAAAGTTTCTTCTACTAAGGGACCTATCATCCAAGCACCCGGCCATTATCAATTAAGAGACAGCAAAGTGTACATTCATTAACACATAAAAACTGGATCATCTTGACACTGCTAAATCATTCAGAAAAACCACATCTGAAAATCCGGCCTAAACTCAATACCTCACACAAAGTAGTTATCAGAAACAAGCTTTGGGGACAGTCTTCCAAGAGATACACTGAAGTTCAATCCCTCCCCTGGTGTTTTTATCTATTACCGGTTATACAAGTGTCTGTGGGTCCCACCCCGTCACAACTCAGCCCAATTCTAGATGCTCAAGGTCATCCATGACAGTCAAGGTCAGAGACAGCCCCACACCAGCCTATTCAGGCACCTATTCCCTGTTCCTCCTGGCCTTACCTGCAGATACATGGCCTTCACCTGCTTCTAAAATAGCCAGCTATTTCTCACTTGGGCATCTCTACCAATCTCTACAATCCAATGTTTCTTGAAAAGTGAAAACCAAAAATGCTAATCATCCCTACCCACCTGCAAAAGCTTTGTAGCTCTTGTGGGGAATTAAGAAACGGAGAGGATCTAAGAGAAAAGCCACTAGAAAATCTCAAAATAATGGCATGCTCACTTCAAAGGATATGGAAGTTGTAAGAGCTTCTCGGTGGGCAGGGGAGAGAAAAGCTTGAACAGGTGAGGGGGGCAGAAAGGAAGGAAGGCAGGCAAGCCAATGAATACGAACATGGACGCAGAGAAGTGCCACGAAGTTTATTTGAGCAGGAGCCTGTTCTTGCCTCTTCCAAGATCATGTCCAGCTCTGCCCTTGACCACACACCATTCCTTATCAGGCTCTTTCTCAAGGATGCAACGGTGGGGGGTTTTGCAACCCTACTAACTGGGGTGATAAGTGGAGAAAAAGGGAAAGCAAGAACTCCAGTTCTATCAGTCAGGTTCACATCAGGAGGGAATGCTCTTCTGGCAAATCTGCATTGCTGTGGAAACCTGAGTTAAGTTCTCCAGAGAACTCTGATATACATGGTAGCAAGGGGTCACAAAGCACAGGAGCTAAGATCTACACAGGTTTTTGTGGGCTGGCCCAGAAAACTATCCCTAACATATAAATATGGTTATAGTTAAGGGTCAAGGAAATTAACATGGAATGAAAAAACACGGTTCCCTCATCCACACAGACTTAGCTAGCTATATATGGTACGTACATATCACAAGTCCTGGACACTCCAAAGAAAATCCCAAGAAATACAGGCTTTAGGAAGCACCCCACCAATGAAACAAGGTATCCATTAAGGCACAATGTGTTCGCCAAAAGACTAGGAAAAGTGTTGTTTTTAGGCAAATGTGAATATTTTCTACTTCACTCCCCTACTTCTACAAAATATAGGCATACCTCCATATTTGTAATCTAGTTTTTGTTTTACACTTGTTGCATTAACATTAATTAACAGTCTAAGACCGGCATTCAATTTTCCAAATCTATACTTGTTCAATTTTCTTTCCTTTGTAAAGCATATACAAAGCAATTTTTTCCCTCCACATTACTTTTCTCTAGTAAAAATCAGTTTCTTTCTAGCATTTTCATTTCAAATAATGGGTTCATCAGTGTCACTAAGCCATGAAGAAGGCAATTATTGACATGCTCTAGAACAAAAAAATGCTTTCATCTTTTCCTCATGAATCATTTGACAAAAAAATGGTAGTGCTCGCAGGTATATTCACATTCCACAGCAGAAAACACAAGACAAGACCCAGGAGGAAAAGCCAGTTGCTGACATCTAGAGTCAGGTGCTAGCTCCAGGCCTGCCTTATCTTCAGTTCTAAGACCCTGTTACCTTTGTCTGCTCACTGTCTGGGTCTTCAAGCCAAGCGTAAGGGTCACAAATTTTATGCCCATGATAATCCTGTACCTGCAAAAAAAGAAAAAAAGTACCATTAGATATTTACTGTTTCACCCAATTAAATTAGTATTTTCTGACTGTGATGGAGAAACAGGAAAGGGACAAAAAAAAAAAAAAACACTATATTTGGCTCACTGGCAACATGCCTGCCCAAAGCTGGCAGGTTCTCAAAGGTGTCAAGCCACCCTTCCTGAAAAGAATGTTTAAGCTGGAGAGGGAAGAAAGATGAAAGGTCAGAATGGGAAAGCACTCTGTCTGTACAACACAAAACAAAGGCCCGCTGCTGTGCTAAAGAAACTTGAAAATGTGTTGTCAGGGGCAAAGCAGGGAATCACACAAAGCACTGCCAGCTCAGAGGGCGTGTTTGTGAGGGAAACACTCGACATGCTTATTTTCCTGCGCTTGCTAAGCTTACCCATGAGTAGAAAATCTGCCTACACTAGACAAGGTGATACGTTCACGTTTAAACTAACAAGCAAGTTGCTAATAGGAGTAAGATGCTTCTAACTGGTATCAGTTGGAAAGCTCATTTCTGAAACTGAAGCCTTTCTTCTTCCCTTTGGTGCATTGTCATGAAATAGTTTCTTACACAGTTTCTAAAAGGCATCACCATTCAGACTATCCTGGTATTTGCAGGAATAAAAATGCTGGCTGAGCAGGGCCTGGCTGAGGAGAATCATTCTGGAGCCCCAAGGGGGCTGATCAGCAGAACCACCTGAGAATTTCTGAGAAGCACAAATGCCTGGACCTGGGCTCAGAGACTGACTCTAAAAGAGCAACTGGGAGTCACCGCTCCCCAGGTGATTAAGCTGCAAGAAATTGTCCGCAGGTAAAATCATTACACGACCTCTCCATTTTCTACTATAGGGGAGGAAAAACCTGCCACCCAAAATGTCTTTTTGGCAAAACGTTGATTTCATGGGAAAGATCTGAAAGCTGGGTGGCAGCTGCCTTTGAAAAAGATATTAATATGGGAACTTCTCTGTAAGGATGTCTCCCTCACTGTCCTGGGAAGACCTAATCTTCTATCTCCTTTCTATGGAATAGACAAAACTGAAATCTGCATACCTCTTCCTTGATAGCCTCCCTGACTGACCTCCCCTCCTCTCACCCCATCAACACCCTGGTCATAGCTAAGCTTTAGAGGACATCTGAAGCTGTGTGGTGAGTTACTCAGCTCCTGTGTACTCCCATGTAAACAGGAGGTATACATGTTCTCATTCAACTTTTTTGGCTTTTTTCTCGTTAGTTTGTATGGTGCTGCTTCGATTTTTTTTGCTAGCCTAGAGGAACCAAAAGGGGTATGAGATGAGTTCCTCTGTACCCTAAAATGATCGAGATTAATCTAATTAATTGAAACACACTGAGAGCCAGTCAAGTCTCTCAATGCTAACATTCTGGTTAAGGCTCCTCATCCATGGCTGTTGGGAGGACTGTGCCGCTGAAAACCTTTGAACATCTCCTCACTCTACAGCAGAAGGAAAGGGCTTCCCTAAGGAAAACACTCTCCTGGAAAAAGAAAACCAAATGTCACTTTTATTGCTGATCAGAGTTCCAATGTGGCTGCTGTCCAACAGACAAGACTTTCCGGTGCCTAAAATATGTGGCTTTCCACAAGGGGTCTGCATCTGTCCTCACTGCGTCCGGGGGAGAGGACGCCAGCAGAAATGTACACCTGGAAGAACAGCAGTTAAAAGGTGGAACACTGACCAGCAAGTGCAGGGATATAAAACTAGCCGGCAATCTCTCCTAAGAAGGCATCACAAAATTACCTAATTTTCAACCTTAACTTAAAGCTACTTTGAAGTTTAGCTGATTGTCACCAGTGAAGGGCAGCTTTTTATCCTTTTCTTCTCATCCACGAGTCTTTTACATCTTGCACACCCTGAAGTGGCTACAAAATATACCAAAAACAGGGCCCTCCCTGGTGGCATGAGGGGTTAAAGCACAGCACTATGAAGCTATCTACAGCCACTGCAGCAACAGTTTGATCCCCAGCCAGGGAGGTGACCCACATGGTGTGCCAGACCTCTCCTGTCTCGCCCGCTGCAGTGTACTTCAGTAGATCTGCCTGTTCTGCTCCCCCCTCTGCCTCTGGTGAATCACCTCACCCTCTCCACTGTACCCCAGTTCTTGTATGAATAAATCTTTTTAAAAAAATCTATTTTTAAAAAATAGCCAATTTCCCCCTGACAATAATAATAAAAAAAAAAATTCCAGTTGTAAAAGACCTTCCAATCCAACAGTTTTAGTAGCAATACAGGCACAAGATGGCAACAAGCCTGCAGCCACGCTGAGCTGAGAGCCAGGCTGGAACAGAGGACAATCTGCCATCAGCAATTGCCCAAATATACTTGGAGGAGATAGCCCAGACACTTGAAAATGTTCCCTAAAGATAGTTACTAAATCTCAGACATGCCCAGAGACCTAACTTTTTATAAGGAAATGGCAACAATTCATTGGACATGTTAGCTTACTGATGAAGTGAAGGTATTGCTAACTACAACACCTAAAGCAATGAAGACTCTGGGTACTGTTAAGCTTCATGTTTTAAAGAAACAGACAAGCGAGTCAATGAAATTCCTATTTTACCTTTCATGAATGCAATTCAGAGGCTAGTAAGGGTAAAGAAAACAGGTTTACTACTGACTCAGAAACCACCGTGAACAGAGAGCCACAGACTTCTGACAACCTTGAGGTCCTCCCTAGGAGGTCATTACTAACTCATTTTCCAGATGTGGAAAGTGAAGTTGAAGAGAGCAACTGACAAAAGTCAGATGGTCAATAATCAAAAGGTCTATGACCCACTTTGAACCAACCACAAGCAAGGCCTTTGGGCTCAACCTCCTGATTGAGCAGGGCCAGGTGTAAACTGGCCGGTGCAGAGCTGACGCTGCCTCGGCATGTCCTCCCGGTGCTACCTCCTGAAAGTGTTTACACCAAGGAGACAGCCCCATCTTCCCAGAACCAACAATGAACCACACTGAGGTCAGTAATTGACCATTTTTAACCAGGACAAGAAACTGATTCCAGGATAATCCTCCAGACAATCTGAGGAGCCAACATTTTTTTCTTTTACAAAAGCCTCCTAGCCACAGCTTCTGAACTCACATAGCAGCTGACTCTCCCATCTGATTTAAGTCTGCCAACCATTCCTCATCTTCCCCCAAGAAGCTTTCAAAATAGAGCTCTGACGAGGAAGGCACTGCTACTCTTCAATACCTGCTGCTGCCCTAACGATGGAGCATAGACCCACAGACACAGCAGGCGGGTCCACCAGACTTGGTCCTGCTTTTCACTCTCCCTTTTTTGACTTCCCCGTGCTCTTAGCAATTCCCTCCCAGCCTCCCATCAACTCAAGAATGATCTGATCACACTGGCCTTTCTGAAATCTTGCAAACAAATGCATCGTGAACCATCCAGGTCTGCCTAACTGTGACTATTTTCTTCGTCACACAGCCAGGAATGTCCTTTCAACCTTATCCAACTGGCCAACTTCCAAGCTCAATTCACATACCATCTCCTCCTGATGGTAATCCTAGATTCCTCCGTGTTCTCCCCTCACCCTACATACTCTTCCAACCCCTGTTGAGGGACCAAATTTCCTGACAGCAGCACTCTTAGGGGACGGTCAAGCAATTACCCAGTTTCCAAACTTCTGCTCGTGAGTCAGAAATCCACCAAAATGGTTATATGTTCCCACCCCACAGTTCAGAGACTGCCCAGTAAATTGCTAAAAGATGCTCAAGTGAGAGAGACAGAGCTACAGCAATCCCCAGCACCTGTGCAAAGAAGCAAGCCCATTCTAAAAAACTCAAGGCTACAATTAGAGCAAATGTCTGAAGCAATTCCAGGACTTCATAATCAAGACTCTGGCCCAGAAAAAACATAGCCCATGTAGACTGTCAGGGCTATAATACACGAGGAGAGCCACAGAGCAGGGTCCAGGCTGAATCAGAGTTATATCCCCTTGGCCAAGAGGTTTACAGTTATCAGAGTTCTTTGGTGACAAGGAACTGGAGAATTAAAATCTACACCTACCCTTTCAAATTAATTGCTTATGGCCCTCCCAGGTGGGGCAGTGGGTTGAAGTACACCACTGCAAGCTAGCTGCAGTTGCAGCTGCTTCTGTGTGAGTTCAATCCCTGGCCCTGGAGGTGATCCACGTGGTACAGAGACTTCTGACCTGCCTGCTGCTCCCCTCAGCAGTGTACTTCGTCAGTCTGCCTGTCCTGCTCCCCATTCTGTCTCTGGTGAATCCTCTCACTGCTCCTGCACCTCTGGCCAGTTAACCACTTCTACAGGCATAAATAAATAAATAAATCAAATCAACTGCTTACAAATGACATCTTCATAATATCCTCAATTAACCCTTTCAGGAACTATTATTAAGCAGAAGTAAATGAACTACAGGATTTTGATACGCAGCATAGGGGAAAAAGGAAGGACAAATCGCCAGCCACCCGGCCAGAAAAAAATTTTAAAATGCTCATATCAAACCACATTATAGGGTCATTCCTTATATTGTCCTCCTGAAAGCAAACATCTTCAAGAAGTATTTACATCTTTTACTACTAAAGTCTGGGGCACTGTGGAGCTGTGAACGAAGACAGTATTCTTACTGAAGAAGCAAGTATGTCCTGTGCACTTCATACTGGGGGATGGAGGAGAGCCGGTCAGTAATCTGCCAGAGGGCATCCAGGTAGTGATACAAGCAGAACCAGAGCTCAGGCTCAGGTCTTCTTTCCTAGTCTGTCCTCCTTTCCATTCCAGCAGGATCACTTTACCCTATGTACAGAGGAAACAGCCCTTCCAACCAAAGGAACAGAGCTGCTTAGGCTGTTAAGAGCAAATTTAATAAGCAGACAGCCGAGCAGATTGAGAAAACATGGTTACCAGATGGCCACTGGTCAGAGACTATGAATGCAACAGTGCAGTTGAAAGTCTTAATTTCAAATACATCCTAAAAAACCTCACGACCCTTTACCCCAAAGTGAGGTGTGCTTTCACGTACAAACTTCCTAGCATACTCTGGGTGAAATATGAAAAAAAAAAAAATTATAGCTGCAGTATACAAAAATACTTTGGTTCTATTTTCAGTAAGCGGAGCAATTTGGCTATTGCTAGGAGAATCATGCCCACAACACTCGGATTCACTTCAGTTCCTAAAATGCCAGTTTTTTGTTTTTTTTTTTTTTTTAAGATTCACCTATTCGTACATATAGAACTGGGGTACAGGCCAGAGGCTCAGGGGCGGCAAGAGGCCTCACCAGAGAGTGGGGAGCAGAACAGGCAGAAGGACTGAAATACACTGCTGAGGGGAGCAGAGGGCGGGCCAGGAGAGGTCTGCCGGGCCACGCGGGAATCGAACTCATGCGAAAGTGGCCTCAGCTTCTCAGTGCGGTGCTTTAACCCGCTGCGCCACCAGGGAGGGCCACCGAAAATGCCAATTTTTACACTCAAAAAGGGTGTTTGCCCAGAGAGGGTGCTGTGCCGGTAGGTAGCCGCTCTCGGCAGCCACACAGCTCCCGCTTGGTGCCGCTAGGTCTCCCCACTGGATTCCACCCACTGGATCTCCACGATTTCCCCGAGTTCAACCGAAGCGTAGGGAAATGGAGGCTAATCTCTCCACTAGGGGAAAGTTAAACTCCAGGAAAGGTCATCACTTCACCCTTCTAGGTCTCCTTTTACCCCACCAACTCCTTTTCTTGTCCAGGAAAACTTGGGTAAGCCCTACCGCCCCCCGGGGGGAGGGGGTCCCCGCTCCGCCTCGCCAAGTCCTGCTCGTCTCCGCATCCTCGGATCCTCCGCGCCCAAGCCCAGCAGCAGATCTGGGTGGGGTAGGGCAGACGCTCAATACTCCTTTTAAAAATCAAATGAACTTCTGCGCCAAGGGTTTTCAATGTGTAAGTTTTAAAACTTTGGTTGTGTTGGTAAATTTCACATCACCTCTCCACCCCACCATATTTATGCACGAGCTTCCTCCTGCCAAAAAGCAGCGGCACGTTCTGTCTTCCCACTCCCTGAAGACACCCATTCCCACCCCGGTGTCTGCCCTTGACCCCACTGATTTTAAGGAATCAGCCAGACGGGGACTGACCCACAGGTTCCGCCGCCAGCAGGCAGACAGTGACCGCCGCCCGGATCCCGGCAGCAGGGACCGGGGAGGAGCCCCGAGCCCCCAAGCCGGTTTCTCACAAACAAAGGCCGTGGGGGAAGGGAGGCTCCAGGGGAGGGGGCTTCGGGGAGAGGAGCTGCGGGCGGCCGCACCCGCGGCCCTGGCCGCGGGGAGCCGGTGGGCGCGGGCAGGGGTACTCACGGCGGTCTCGTCGCGGAACACGTCGGGGTACTGGAAGGACAGCATGGTGGGGGCGCGGGCTCCGGGAGCAGACGCGAGCGGGCAGGGCAGACCGCGGGGCGAGGCTGGGGCGCAGGCAGGGGCCGAGCGGGCGGCGGCCGTGGGCAGAGGGCTCTCCGCCAGGGCTGGCACAACTGCACGGGCAGCGCGGCGGCGAGAACGTGCGGAAAGCAAGCCGCAGCTGTCCGCGAGGCCGGGAGCCCCTCCTAGACAGGCGGGTCCAGCCACAGCGGCACCAAGAGGGAGCTGTTCGGCTGTAGAGAGCGGCTACCTAGCCGCAGAGCGCGGCTACTTAGCCGCACAGCACCCTCTCTGGCAGCAGGGGAGCGCAGCAAGTCTGGAGGACCGCTCCACTGAGAGCCCCAGCTTCCTCTGACTGCCGCCTGGGGCCGCCACGTCCAGTCTCTGGCCAAGAAACAAGCACAGTTTCTTCACATCTCTCTCTATTCTGTGTGGCTTCCTCAGGTCTCCTCCTGGCTCTCCATTCTACTTTCTTCTTCTCTAGACTCGTTTCTCTGCTCAGCTCCTTCTGGGTGGAGCAGGAAACCCGAAACGTCCCCTTTTCCTGGGGGCCTCCACACTACAATGGGATATTTGATTATCATGTTTTGCAGCTGTTCTCAGAACTCCCTCATTGGGCAACCCTGGAATTTTCAGTTTTAGAGGGCTCACTTATTGATGCCAGTCTCAGTGCAGACAAATACAAATACATAGCAGGCTGCTGCCCAGTGCTGCTGGCCCAGTTACCTCCCGCTGACTTCACTGTCCTGTGCTTCCGCCTCTTTGACCCAGCAAACCACCTTATGACAAAACCATAATAATAATAGTTAATGCTTATTGAGTGCTGCTTATATGCCAGGAAATTATCTTACCTAAGCTTTATGAGATAAGAATTCCAGTCTTGTAGTTGAGGAAAACTAGGTAGAACTTTTACCCAGGAGTTAACAATAGTTTCTGAAGATTGTCAGAAATAGAGCCAGATTCAAACCCAGCTCTCTGACACCAACTCTTCATCCTAGTCACTCTGAGTATCTCTCCTTGTAAATAAGTAGGGGTACTCTTCCTCAGGAACACCGTTTAGGAGGTGAAAACTCATTCTGGTAGGATCCACGGTAGAAATTATGAGAATTGTGTTACCCAATTTGCAAATTGTTGTGTCAGTAACACCACACTGATAAATGGGAGTCCTGAGCAGCTGCACGAAGCAGGTGCTGGTCTTTTTATCGATAAAATAATCTACAGCATCAACTGTAGGGGGAAGTAGGAAAAATGAAGGGGGCAGGATGAAACTGTCATCTGTACTATCAGGAGTTGCCAGTCTTCTCTAGCTACTTCTCACCTGCTGATGGCTCGGTATTGTAACTGAGATAAGCCCTAGTTCCCCAGTCAGGGTTTTAATCTTATCAACAAGGTGTTCCACTGATCAGCTTGGGGAGGGGGGGTCCTTTGCCATACATTAGTCAACAGCCCCCAGGCATTCCCTGTATTACCTCATGATGTATAAGTGGGAGTAAGTTTATGTATCATTCATCAGCCCTCTCCAAGATCCCCCCCCCCAGCATTCCCAGCCAAACCTGGAGATGCATATCCTTCCTAAGATGCTCCAGCTTTGTGCTCTTGATTGATTCAAATAACACTTTGTAGGGTTGGGCTCCTATGACCCAGATAGTTTTGACCTTGCTTTAGGAACACAGAACTGCAGGGAACAAAATGGTGTCTGAACAGGCATAGGATTAGCAGAGCCCCACAATTCAAACTTTAGGCATCATCTTCTATTCTGCAATAGTCAGTCATTCTGGTGTTCAACTCCTCTGGGCCCTGAAAACTAAAGGTCTGTTTGTAGCACAGACTGTGACACCAATAGTAGATTGTAACTGGAGTGAGGTGGAGTGGAGAGGCAGACGAGATGACACAGACATTTGTCGTGCACATGTGTCACCTCCTTTAATTTCCCAACAAACCCCTTTTTACAAACCAGGAAAAGGAATCTCCAAAGCTTTAAAGGCATTTGTCTGAAGTCATCATGTAGCAAAGAATGAACCAAGATTCAAATTCATTGGTTGACTACAAAGTATATGCTCTACCTTGACCATTGAAAGTGAAAAGCAGTACCTAATTCATCTCAGAGATGAATGTACTACTTCCAGAAAACAAAAACAAAAACAAACCAAAGCATTATTTGATCTCTGTCATTGTATGTATTTCCAGGGGAATGATACAAATAAGGTTAGGGTTCATGCTCTAACCTAGCACCTGTTCCCACAACACCAGGCCCTTGGGGTGGGGGCTAGCAGGGACAGAAGGACATCCAGGGCAGCCTGCAGCCTCCCCTCTATTGCCTGATCTCAAACTTTGTGCCTACTTCAGTTTCAGTCTCTTCTATGAAAGCAGGCTAGTGATCATTGGCTGTCTTCACCCTGCTTTGGATTCTTGTCAAAGCATTCCTCCCAACCACACACAATAGTCTCCAAGGGAAGGGAGCGGACTCCCCAATACACAAGGATGACTAAGTGTGGACTGACTCCCACGTCACTCTTTATGTGCCGCAGACACGACCACTGACTGCATTCACCTGGAGAACGGAGTCTTTTCATAGTCTCACAAAGGTCTAATTGGTGAGGAGCTGAATCTCCCCAGGGGAAACTTATTTCTCTAATTCACACAAGTCTGACATCTTGTTAGCACCCCTTAATGATTGATGCCTCAGGTGCTCCAGATAATCCATCCTTTAATTTGACTCTGGTTTCCAGGTAGTTCGCTAACCTCCTGATTAATTGGGGAAGTTCAGTGATTTCCAATTGCTTTCCCTCAAAGCAATTGTGTGACTTTTTGCCCAAAGTAGGATTAAGACATCTAACTTTTACATAGTCCTATCCGTCTAGGTTCTGTGAGACACCATGGAGTATGGAATGATACCTAGCATGAGAGGTTCTCTTCCTGGCCCTGCCACTACCCATCTCCCTGCCTTGGAAAGTCCTTACAGCATCAGTATTTTAACCTACAATGAGAGAATTGGATCAGGCGTTTAAGAAATGCTAAGATTCTTTGGCTCTCAGTGAGCACAAAAATGAAGATGGGGAGCCTTACTCTAATTCTGGAGGCCCTCTCTGGTGGTGCAACTTGTTAAAAGCACAGCACTATGAAGCTATCTGCAGCCACCGCAGCACGAGTTTGATCCCTGGCCAGGGAGCTGACCCACGTGGCACAGCAGAGCTCTCCTGACCCGCCTGCTGCTCCCCTCAGCAGTGTACTTCGTGGATCTGCCTGTTCTGCTCCCCACTCTGTCTCTGGTGAATCCTCTCACCCTCCACACCTCTGGCCTGTACCCCAGTTCACATATGCACAAATAAATAATTGTTTTTAAAAAAATCTCTGGAATTAAGAATTACACACCCCTGAGGGAGTGCTGACCATACCATGAGGCAGTGAGAGTGGGACAGTGATTGTCTACTGAGGGGCATTTCTACAAGGGATTAATCAGAGACCACTGCTGGGCCTGCTGCCAGTGCTACATTCACAGATCTGACCTTTACAGGAAGTGTAACTGCTCCCACTGGTACTCTTCTATCCATACAGTCATGTGGTTAAAAGGCTATGTGAGGTGTCTAGAATTACCACTGTGAATCTAGGTCTCCACCTCCTCCTCCCTTCTCAACTTGATGCCTGCCTGCCTGACTTAAATACTGGAATGAAAGGAAAGGGCTGAATTCAACCCAGATTGTAAAATGTGGGCAGAGTAAGTAGATCAAGAATGAATGCGGATTATTTTTTCTAGTTCAGTTCATAGAATTTATCTGTACCATTTCAAAAGAAATTCCCAAGTTAGAAGTTCTAGATCAGTGAGAGAGGCATCTTCTTTCCTATTGTTATTAGGAGACAACTCAGGTGTGTTCTCTTTAATATAAATAAAATTTACTTAATTTAATCAGAGAAAGATGACATGATCTATTCATTCATTTTAAATTTAGAACTGAGGATTTAGGTTCACATAATATAATGTAATAGAAAAATGTCTCAGTTCAAAATTATGCCAGGAAATTACAGAGATAGATTAGGAACGAACAGAGAGAAAGACAAGAAGAAAAAGTAAGATGGAGAGACAGATTATCTGATATCAAGAAAGAAAGGCAAAAATGTGCACAGATTATGGAGACAGACAACAAACATGAAAACCATGCAGAAAATCAGAATTGGACACCCAGTTCTCGGAATATCTCATCTTATGACCTTAAGAATGTTAGTAATTTAAAATTGGGCCTTTACAACTCTGAGATAATTAACAATGAAACCTTTGGGCGTTTTTCTCATTAGTTCAGATTAAGCAATGTATCTGACCTGCATATTTGCTTTACCCGCCTAGTCCCTGAGTAGCACCCAGAATGTTTTCCCTTTATTATGGCTTTTCTCATGCTCTTCACAGGTATCATCTTGAATTAGCTGATTTTAAAGCATTAAATTCAGGTGCTGATTTTATTTGACATCTGTAGTTTAACCATTTCACTGTAGATCCCAAAGGAATAGTATAGCCTCCTCCTCCTCCCCCCCCCCATAAGTGACACGTGCTGGGGAAATAGTTTTTGATCCCTCTGGTGCTGAGAGCTCAAATTCTACTCAAAGGGAATTGACAAAATCCCCAACTCTACAGCCTTCCCATTTCTCACTCTCCCCACGCCCCACCATCCCTTCCTCTCTCCTTCCCCTCTCTTTCCCTCTTAGAGGGAAAGGGGAAAGAGTAGCTTTTATTGTTTCAAAACATTGCTACATGGAAACTTCTAGAATGACTTGTTATTACATTGGGAGGCTCCCAGGCACACTTCCCTTACTCCATCCAAGGAGACTAGTCATGAAAATATATGAGCTGAAAATGGGAGAGAACTAAATAGGGTCATTAGGATCAAGATGCCAAAGGAATGATTTGCCTTGTGTTCTGTGTCAATGGTACCTTCTGCAATGCTGTTTCCCTGTACACACTCCAGAACAACTGACTTGGCAAAAATTACTATATCTAAGTTCTCTATTAAAAGGGGCCCTCTTTGAAGGAAGACATCCCAAAGTAGGCTCAAATGATTTCTTTTCATTAAATTACCCATGATTTAATTCATAACCAATGATGATGCATGGAAACCACATTGTCTTTTAGTTAGCATTCAGTAACATTTCACACTTCTTTTTCACCCTCTATGATGCAAGGGGCCTCCAGTCTCAAATCCACATTTACTAAACTCCCTGGT